TTAGATAGAAAACTTTGAATCAATCTGACTGGATGATCTGGTGAACTGGAAAGTGACCTGAGATGACATGATGTGAATTGGAGCTATAGAAATAAATTAAATTGAATTATTCTTTTAAATGGCATTTTTTTTTCTCTACACACTCAAGTCAAAGACTAATTTACTAAAGTAGCTGCTGATTATTTCAATGATCGAGCAATCATAATTAATAATCATTGTTTCTGTCTCAGTTTTTTTAGGCTTTTATTGTCACTATACCAGTTAAATATATGTTGCAGATACATTTCATTTTGTAGCAGCTAATATTGCCATTTTGCCCACAGGAATCATAAAAACCAGTCTATCATTGTGAGCGGAGAGTCTGGAGCCGGTAAAACCGTATCGGCACGTTATGCTATGAGGTACTTTGCTGTTGTGAGCAAATCTGGAAGTGATACTCGAGTAGAAGACAAAGTGCTGGCTTCCAATCCCATCACAGAGGTATGGTTTCACTGGAACCTCTGTAGAACATGTTCTAGTAAAAAAAGAAATCCTAAATTTGTTTTATTATTTTTTTCTTCAGGCAATAGGAAATGCAAAAACCACCCGTAATGACAACAGCAGTAGGTTTGGAAAATACACAGAGATCAGTTTTGACCGGAGGTATCGAATCATCGGAGCGAACATGAGGACTTACCTCTTGGAGAAATCCAGAGTGGTTTTTCAGGTAGGTCTAAAGAGGGATTCCTCTTGGGCTGCAAACAACCGTTATTTAGCAAATTGATAAATCTGCTGATTATTTTTCAATTAATTGATTAATAATCAGATAGCAAAATGTTCGTTAATGAAGACTTTTCACTGAGTTCTGGATTATAGAGCAGATTGACAGTCGAAAAATGTTTTTTTATCATATAGAATTTTTTTTTACAATATATAAGATATATATAGTATAATTACTGCTCTAAGTACGTCGCTCTAAAAACTTTAAAGACATGTTTTAGAGTTTCTATATTCCAGTTACGATTAATCAATGATTAAATTAGTTTAATATTTCAAAAATTTTATTAATCAGATTAATTGTTTCAGCCCTAAATTCCTCATATATTTATAGACAACAATCAGAGAAAATCAGAGTTATCTGTTACTTTTTAGAGGTTTTTATTTTTGATCTCAAAACATTTTTCTGTTTCCTGTTTCTCTTACATACCTTGTGTTGCAAACTGGTGTTAAGACTCCCAGACTCACAGACATTAAAGTTAACAGTTGCTTTGACAACAGTTTGTTCCACCTGAGCTGCAGACCTCTGAAGCTCCTCCAGAGTTTCCCCGGGTCTGTTGGCTGCTTCTATTTAAGGCTCTCTTTGCAGAGGTTTTTCTTCCATAGCTCCTGTCCTATTTTTTTTTTTATTATCCTCTAATGCTTCTCCACAAACCTCTGAGGCCTTCACAGCGCAGGGGTCCGTTTCACGAAGCAGGTTTAACAAATTCAGTTTCAAATCTGCAACTCTAAATAGATCTAGTTTAAATCTGGGATCTCTGAGCGTTCGGTTTCACAACGGCTGCTATGAATTAGTTCAATCAATTTGAACTAGGTCCACTCAGAGTTTAGCGCATGCGCAACAAGTATGAAAATCCATTATCAGTGGAGACCCGATTCGACGAGTCACCATGACAACAGCAAACAGGAAGTGCTTATTTCAGCACACCAGAACTAGAGGTTTTTAATGCAAAAAAAAAAAAGGGGGGAATGTATTTAAAAGCCAGAGAAACAGCGCTAACGCTACCGTAAAGGAGAAGATTGTTGCTTCAGTTAATGCGTAAATTTACATAAATTGACTACGGCAGGCCATTTTTACATTTATTAAAAGCACTCTCCTCTCTGTGGTTCTAGTTGTAGACCTAACTGTAATAATATATTTTCTAAATTACTGTAACAAAAACTGAATTTTAGAAAGTAAAAAACACAAATGTTTACACATTTTAAGTGGCCGTTCTGACATTTATCAGCTTGACTGAAAATATATTTATGATATCTGAAAAACATGTTTTCATAGTTAAAATAATACCAATGCTGACCAGTAATATTAGGAAGATGGAGATCTGAAATTAATTTCTAGACTTCCAGAATGTTTATTCTAGATGTGGAGAATGTAATTTTGTTTAAAATGGTCATTTAGACAAAAACATTTTTTTTTTTACAGATATCAGGAATACATATTCAGTAAAACCGGTACATATCGAACTGTCTTGCCATAGAGGTTCCTACTGTGAAAATATTGCAGGATTATTTCTTGAATGATAGTAGAAATAGTGTCTCTGACAATGAGTCTTGTATTTAGGGGAAATCTTCTGGCAGCAGGTGAAAATGACAAAAAACTACAACAAAAAATGCGACTAAATCAGGAAATAAAGCAGCGTGATTGGCTGGTAGGAGGGTGATGACAGAGGACTCTGAGTTTACTGAAGAAAACCAGCTGCTGACCAGGTTAGCTCTGGGCGGGTGTTACTATGGCAACAGAAACAGAGGTTGAGTAAAGTCTCAGTGAAACGGAAAAGTCAGAGTTTCCATTTTTTCAGGTTTAGACATCTTGTTTTCAGTAAACCGGCTTCATGAAACGGACCCCAGGTGGACTCTACCTGTAAGGTGGATATAAATGGAGGGCAGTTTTAATCAGAGATATCAGACCGTAAGAAATTAAACTCTATTTTTCTCCCCATATAATACTGTGTGCTACTTTGTGAACACATGCACTGTGATATTTGTGGTTGTAACATGATAAAATATGACAAAGGTAAAGTGATTTGCAATATATGTCTGTTTTAGCATGAAATTCAAATGTTTTTTTTACAATTAATACAATTAATCGTGATTAATCGAACTAATTTAGTAATCGATTCATCATTAACTGGAGTATAGAGACTCTAAAACTTGCCTTTAGCTGACAGAGTGCCCCATTTAGAGCAGCAATTATATCAAAATTATAAAGAAAAATATCTAAACATTTTGCATTTTAGATAAAAAAAATCTTTTCAGTTTGTCAAACTGCTCTAAAGTATGGAAGAGGATTAGGGCCACTGGAAAAATAAAAAATAACTTAACTGATTTTTAAATTTTATTTCAGTTTAGTATGGGAAAAAAGTCAGAATTCTGACTTTTTTCCCATACTAAACTGAAATAAAATTTAAAAATCAGTTAAGTTATTATTATTTTTTTTTTTTTCAGTGGCCCTAATCCTCTTCCGTACTAAAGTCCAAAACTCTTCAAGTGGAAAAGTTTTACTTTCACCTCTTTAATTCTGTGAAAAGTCTTCTTTAAGGAACCTTTGGCTATCTGATTATTAATCGATTAACAATTAATTAATGGATTGCAAAATAATTTTAGTTGCAGTCTTGAATCACATAATTTGTCTTTTTTTCTGTAGGCAGAGAATGAACGCAACTACCACATATTCTACCAGATGTGCTCCTGCGCAGACTCAGCAGAGTTTAAAACCCTCAGACTGCGTGAGTATTTCTGCTGAGTCATTGTTTCTCTCTGACTGCTGCCTTTTTGTTTCACTGTAAACCTCACAACACACAGCTACAGTAATAAAGTATCGATGTCACCTGTGGGTCTCTCCCCTTAGTTTTCGTTTTTGAAAAATCACATCTAAACAAAATGAAAAAACTTTTAAAACACTTAACATTTTGTGCTATTTTTAGGTAGAAAATGAAAAACCTTTGACTTCTGCATCTTTTTTCAGCGTTCTTATTTTTTATTTTTTTTTGTAGTGAGTGCAGATGAGTTCAGGTACACCAGCATGGGTGGAGACGTAACTATCGAAGGCGTAGACGATAAAAAGGACATGGAGGAGACTCGTCGTACCTTCTCCCTTCTGGGTAAACTTTCAGGCCTCTAATTTCATCTGTTACATCTTAATTTCTTGCTTTTAAGGTGTTTTTCCTGACCTCTCTGTGACAGGTTTAAAAGAGGACTTTCAGTCAGATGTGTTTAAAGTTCTAGCTGCTATTTTGCATTTGGGGAACGTGGAGATCAGGAGCTCTGGGGATGACAGGTCATCTGCTCCTGTGAGTGTTTTATCTTAAATGGAATCTAAGCTGATTTTAGAATCGGCTTCCAGGTGAAATTGAAAAAACCGTGTGTCTTTCAGTCGAACGATCCCCACCTGGCGGCGTTCTGTGACTTGCTGTCTGTGAGTCCATCTGAACTGGTGCGGTGGCTGTGTCATCGCCGGATTGTTCTGGTGAGCGAAACGGTGGTAAAGCCGGTGCCGAAAGAGAGAGCAATGGCCGCCAGAGATGCTCTGGCTAAGCAGATCTACGCCCACCTGTTTGACTGCATCATCACCAGGATCAACACGGCGCTGCAGGTTCCAGGAAAACAACACGCCTTCATCGGTGTTTTGGACATTTACGGGTGCTGCAAAACGACGCCTCTTTATATATTTCTTTAGTGCTTTCTTCCTTTGATTCTCCTCATCACATTGCTTTTCGTTTGGTCCTCAGATTTGAAACATTTGACATCAACAGCTTCGAACAGTTTTGCATCAACTATGCAAACGAAAAGCTCCAGCAGCAGTTTAACTTGGTATGGAGCAAATTTCCACTCAGTAGCTGCTCCTACATGCTGAGTTTTCCCCTTTAAGAGTCACTTCGATGTCTCTTCCCTTTCAGCATGTCTTCAAGTTGGAGCAAGAGGAGTACATGAAGGAGGACATCCCCTGGACACTAATAGACTTTTATGATAATCAACCCGTCATTGATCTGATCGAAGCAAAAATGGGGATCCTTGACCTTCTGGATGAAGAATGTTTAGTAAGAATTTTAGACCTTTTAAAAGCTCTTTTGGGATCTTTGATCAGTTCCTAACAAACGTTTATGTTTTCTCAGTTTCCTCAGGGAACTGATCAGAGCTGGTTACAGAAGCTGTACAACTACCTGGAAGCCAATCCCTTGTTTGAGAAACCCAGGTTATCAAATGAGGCATTTGTGATTCAACACTTTGCAGACAAGGTGGAGTACAGTGATCCAGTGTCCACATAATGTCTCTCTGTAAATAAATATAATCTGTGCTAGAATTGCTCATATTGTTGCACTGCTGTGAGTTTAATGGCTGCGTTTTACTCCTGAAGCTGTAATCTGGTAAGATAAAGCGGTATTCCAGAAAATATCCCAGGATTTGCTTCCCTTTTATTTTATAACGGTCTGTCTGTCAAAAAAGGAAAAAAAAAAAAATGTATCCAAACAAAATAAGAAATGATCCTGTGTTCAAAACAAT